TGTTTTTGAGGGGTCTGTGACAGTGTCAGATAACATTCTGTCAATGCCCATGCCATTCCACACAAGCAATAAGATGTCTGAATTAGTTACTAATGTAAAATAATGTCTCAAAGTAGATTTTTAAAAAAAAGGACAGCTGATGTTAACACGTGTTATACCGATAGTAGCTGATGTTAACACATGTGTTCTACCGATAGTTTTGCGTTCTTTAACATGTTTGGGGAGTGATGGCCGTGGAGTATCATTTATTCTTTCATTCATTCACATATGTATTTCTTTCTTCTGGTCTTTTTCTTTATTTCTTTCATTCATTCACATATAAAAAATTCTTGCTCTTAATTCATTCATTCATTGTAAAATTCCGACTGATACAATACACTGGCTGAAGTACTGTTAAACGCAGCCGAAGTTGCGCTGGGAACGAACCAAGTCCCTGTGTGCGTTGGAGCATGACGAGGCACACGTTAATTAGTACAAATGGTAAAGAAAGCAAGCGAGTGACCTTTCCCTGTTGTAGAGTATCCCTGTTGCAATGTATGGTCGCCCACAATGCAGCTAACTCCGTTATCATCCCATTTCGTATACTAACAGCTTGTCTCTAAAATGAACATTACAGAAAAAAATGAGTTTTCAAATTACAATAAAATACAATAAAATAGGAGCCAAGAGACTTTCTTCTGTTTCTTTGGTAATCTAGACTTGCCACGCATTCTAGACCTGCATGGGCTACATTGGATATGTTTGTTTTCAGGCTCTGTATGACACACTGCCAATTTCGTGGATTGCAGTAACTAACGTTTAACCTTTTCGACGAAAATTGCCTCAATAATTAAACAGCGATGCGGCAATGTTCATTAACTGGGCCTATGTATACAGTTCTACAATACATCTGTGGAAAATCACGTAACCTATCATTTTGATCTGGATGTCCTGATCTAAACATAAATATCGGAACCCTTGTGCTCTAACTATAATAGTTCGGCAAAACTACTATATTACACGGTACACGGGGGTAGTGCAAACTGTACTCCTTCAGTCCAGTGTTGTGTGCGAGTTAACGATAGGACTTGGATGTATACTTACGACACTTCTATTCAACCTGTTTATCAACAATATGACCTCTATCAAGCCATTATCTCAACATACACTTGTTGACATTATAATGTTCTGTGCTGCACGATCACTGTAATCGTGGTTGTGTCAGCTGCCGGTGACGTCAGAATACATTGAAGTTAACTCCTCAAAATCCTCAACAGGGATACGATGACGTGTCAGCCAAGTCAGCGAGCCTAACCACCCGATCCCGTTAGTCGCCTCTTACGTCAAGCATGAGCTACTGAAGATCAATTCTATGTGGCTGACCAATCACGCGAATTTTACCACCGTTGAGGTAAGGCATTGATACATAATCTGCCTGTATGTAGATCTCGCTGGGGCGGGGCGGTAGCCAATGGTTAAAGAACCAATAAACTTTGGGTTTTTTTTACTCTTTTAACTATTACATATGAAAGAATTTTTGTTAGTCTTATGCGGAACACCAAATTCATTCTTAAAAAACTTGTGGTTAATTAATACCGAGCGATTAAAAGTTGCCAAAAAGTCGCCTGCTTCACTCTCGCCCGCCAACGAAACTACTGACAGGTTACGTAACTCTGTCGCCAGTGCACTGCAGTGACATCATATGTGGAAGGATTTTCAGTTAGTTGTATATAAAGTGTGTAGCAAGCTCGTCATTTTGATGATTTCTCAACAACATCCGAAGAATTGCCGAATCGTTGCGTTGGGGTCCCGATAACAACCCAGCTATTCGAAAACGTCGTACAAATCGTCATTGGAATGGCCTTGACCCGTCTGCACCTTCAACGCAGACTGCAATGAGCACGAACTGTATGTCGGTGGCAGCGACGTAACTGGGACCGAGTGCTCTTTACAGATGAAAGTCGGTTCAGTCGGTTCAGAAACGATAGCAGAGTTCGAGTTTTTCAACGTAGAGGAGAGCGACAGGCGCCAAACTGCGTTAAGAAGTTCATCCGTTCGATGGAGAGGCGTTTAAGTTAAGGGACTTGTTATCATACGAGGATATCTGAATGCCCAGCGAGACAGTGATGAGGTTTTGAGACCTTTTGTGGTGCCCTAAAATTCGACAACAGCCAAGAGGAGTCATTTTGCAGCACGACAACGCAAGGCCTCCCACCGCCAGAATTGTTCGAGAATACCTCCACAACGTTAACGTCAACGTGTTGCCTTGGCCAGCGCGTTCTCCAGACACGAACCCAATTGAACATCTCTGGGATCATCTTGATCGTCAGATGAGACAGCGGGTACCACCTCCAGCGAACCAAACACATATATGTGGGTGCGTGCGTGCGACCGTGTGTGCGTGTGTGCGTGTGTGAATGAATGAATGAATGTCTTTATTTCCTCCAGAGTTGAATCCGAAGATCGTACAAAGGCCAATACATTATTTACAATACATCACATACATTAAACAAAATGGAAGCGTATGTTAGACAGCTCATTAATAGATCATTTACAATGTACAATTTGTGGACAGTAGGGCTGTGTTTAATATATGTACATCAGATGTTTCTTTAGATTCCATACGAAGTGAGAAAATAAAAGTATTATGTATTCCCATGTATCATAGTCAATTATTTCAGTTAAGTCATGAATATCTGCGCCGAGAAACAGTGCCAGCATATCATCGTCGTCGAGCATATCTATTTTCACATATATATCTACATCAAGTTTATCAATCAGGCAGGAGAAGAAATTATTTCTGTCGGAGATAAAAAAATACACAGTGTAGGATGCTATGGCAGTCATAGTCATAGCAATGTCTCTGTGCTAGTCTCTCTCTCCACATGTTTTGTTCCACAAGAGACATCTGATTATAATAGATCGCTAAGCTGGGAATGAACCGTTGTAAATAAATTCTTTGATGTAGTGATCTAAGTGATATTTCTTAGCTGTATGTAGGAGGTTACTACACATGCTTGTCGGGCGGCTAGTATTGTCAGGGGCATGTGTAGTAATATAAGCACAGAATATATCTTTCGTTATTGAGTACCAGTCATTATTGCAGAGCCTTCCTAATAGTTGTAATCTACATTTGTCTATGTAACCATTCATTGACCACATTTCTATGTTTGAAATAGACGAGTCGGTTGGAGTGAGTTAATATTTAACGTCACATCGGCAATATTTCAGCCATATCGTGACGAGTCTGTTGGATGTCTCTTACCCAGGCCTTGTATGCGCCAAGCAAAGTAGCGCTGAGTGCGTTCAATCATTTCGAGCTCATTGACTGGTAGGCAGTTCACACCCATACAAGCTTGTAGCTGGAATCATTCGTTTGCATATGTTAACACACGTTGCCGGGTGGAGGTCACAGTTGTTCAGACCAAGCGATCGTAATTTAAATTTATACATTGCCTTGCCTTTGAGCAACAAACCTGACTCTTTCTCTGCAGGATAAATTACTGTTTATTATTATTCCGCCATACTTGACAGAGTCAGAGTTATCAATTGTAACATCACCAAAAATGTATTTTATATTATTATAGAGCTGGCGCGATTTACAGAAAACAAGTGACTTACTCTTAGAGGCGTTGTAGGTGTGTCTCCATTTTTTGGCATATAAATGAACTGAATCAAGAGATGACTGTAGACCGCTAGGGGTTGAAGACAGGAGTGTTGTATCATCGGCTAATAAGACACAGGGTATGTGAAGTCCATGAATGGAGAGGCCATTGTTTGTTTTCCTTAATTCACAGATAAGGTCATTTATGAAAATAAGAAAAAACAGGCTGACATAACTCTACCTTGCCCAACACCGTGTTTAATGGGGAACTCATCAGATCTTTCTCCTTTGTATGATATATAAGCATATCTGTCCGTATAGCTGTGAAATAGTAGATTCCATATATTCCAAAATTTCGTATAGATCCACTCAATAGCCCAATGATTCTTAAAAAAATAACTCCTTGTCTCGTATATTCGTCGTTTATTGACATGAAGTAGCTGACTTAATCCAAAGCGTAAGGGGCCATGAATAGTTGTTTCAATACGCTGCAGCTTGGTGGACGGTCCCTATTGAACACACTCATCACACCAAGGTAGCGCGTTCATTGAGGCCTGACGACTGGGTGGCCATGTTGACTTAGGCTGTCACACGGTGTCCTCCCATTTGTGAGATCAGCCCAGTTGTTGAAGACTACCCACAGGAGGCATAGTTCATTGATGAGTTGATTAATGAAATAGATTATCAAAGATTTTATTTACAAAGAAGAAATAGTTCATTGAATATTTTACTTATTCAGAAGAATATGTAATTATGAAAACACATTTTTATTGACTATTATGAAGTTTGAAAGTCATTTTGGTTTAAACATATTTTATTATCATTATCAAAGTGTTTAATTTTTAAGGACATTTACTGGAGTATGTTAATCAATTTATCATATAAAGTTTCATTAAGTTACCTCCAAAAGATTCAGTTACATAGCAAATCAGTAATTAGCTAGGGTTAATCCATTCTATCAGCCAGGGGAGTAAGGTGTCTTTTCTTTGTTAATTACCTACTCCACTGTCTCATAACTGGGAGTCTCACAATTGGGAGTTCTCACAAATGGGAGTAGACCTGTCACACAGACCCTGAAGCAAATATATCCAAGAAAGCCCACGCAAGTCTAGAAAATGTGGCAAGTCTAGATTTCCAAGTCTCAGGGTTCCTTTTCATTATATATTTTTTTTTTACTATCAGCTATTTTTATGTAAAATATGTTCATTTCAGAGACAAGTTGTTAGTCTAATGTTGACTGTGTACGTGCCGACAGTCAGTAACTTGTTGTAAAAAGTTAATTCATGTGATCGTCTCACAGCTACCCTCAGCGTCACGCCGTACTACCCTCCCAACCAGCGACCGTGTTATTGAACCAATAGAACTGTGATTGCATAACAAACTCCTCTTTCATGTGTCGCCATGGTGAGGAAACGCTGACACACATCTTCAAGAGTCGTCTCTATCAGGTAATAGTGATAGTGTGCATTTTACAATAGGGTATAATATCGCTCCAACCAACCAAAACCCTCCCCTTCCACACCAGAGTCGACAATCCTATATATAGATCACCGGTCACGGGGCACGATTTGGTCACGAATGGTTTTCAGTAGACTAAGGCTTAGTCTCTGAATATATATAATTTTGATAGTAACAAACAAGTCCATTTATATTGAAAAGGAGCCCTAGGGAGACCAGAGATTCCCCTGAACCTGAGGAAATCTAGACTTGCTTTATCTAGGGCTTTAGCACTGCAGAGAGGGCTAGGCAGTAGGGAAATTAATGTGGTTCAGGGACTGTGAGACAGACTAGGTTTTCAGTTTCAACCCGGCCGTCGGACACTGTCGCTTTGGCGTCAGTTATTGCTGTGAGACGATTGCCGGGGACGCATATGAGCTACTAACTGTATGGACATCGGACAATGTTTACATGTCAAGAGATATGATATCCCGAAACGTTGTGCACATTGTACAACAAAGCGTGACATGGAACACGCGTCTCTGCTGAAGATGGACGACATATTGTCAAGTGGATACTGATGACACACTCCTCGAACACGGTAACTGTCTGATGTTAATGTACTTGTGTAGGTTGCCACTTATGATAGTTGCATTTAAGGCAAATATCAAATATTTATATATATGTTCAAAGCTTCATAATCAAGATTAGACAGATTATTACGTAGATTATATTAAGGTATATAGCATTGTTTCCATTTGATTAATTACTATATTTAACAAAGATCATCTGTAAGAATCTTAGATGTGTTTTATATGGTGGAATGACAGAAACTTAGGTATGTTTTATACGTTATTTTATTCCATAGTTCTGTATATTAAGCTTTACTTTCAGTCTACCATCCACTAATTGTCACACTGCAGGCTTACAACACTCCTTGCCCCAGCTCTCAGTCATTTCTATTGTTTTACTGATAGGCCAAACTGGACACGGGTCAGCTCCTATGTAAAGATTCTAGGGTGACTTGTGTATTACTTCTGAAGGAAGGAGATATTTAGCCATGGTAATTTTATGAACATTTGAGATATGCAATTGTGCAGACGAGTCACAACTGATCAGCTTGGGTATAACCAACCCGGCTGTTTCACAATCGACCCAAAATAATAGTTCGGCCTCACAACCCACAGCCGTTTGTATTCTTTCAGAATACACTAACTCCGCTATTATATTGGAGCCCCAGAGCGAGGTAGCTTAAGTCAATACATGTAAGCGGCTATTGACACTTATATTCATGTGACGACATGAACCGTTTTGACACTGTCATGACAGTGTTGGCCATTTTGATTAACTTCTAGTATGTGATATCTGATAATGTATAGCATGTAACATAAGTCAGTGGAAGCCGCGCTGGCTGAGTGGGGATGGCCTAAAAGTCGGGCCGGGCCGGGCCAAGGCGGGCCAAATATATAATTGGCTAATAAACCCATTAACGATCACCATGCCTGCAATTAATTAATGCAACATACACGCATGGTAATAATGATCAATCAGAAGCCATAAACGCGTACCATAATAACTTTATTACGAGTAAATCGGCTAAAACTCAGGAAGACGAGAAGCCTGTGAACTGGCTGACCGAGGTTACGTCTAAAAGTCGAATCTTTAAACGAAACAGGATTTAAAACGTATAAATACTTTAGTCAATTCCGATACACATTTCCATCGGTTTATTACATCTATATCCAATCACATACTACCCCATAAATTCATTATTCATCGTATTTAAAGCATGCCCACCTTTATATGATACGATCTCTCCCCCACACTCTCAACATTATCTCGGCCACAATTGTTCGGTCCGGCTTGACTCGAGCCGTCAAAAGCAACTTAAACGTAACACACGTATCTTGAATTGTGTTTAAATCCATAGAATGGCATTATATCTACTAAATATCGCTTTGTAATATTATAAAATGCAACATGTAAAGAAAACGGCTCCGTTAAAGTGAATCCCTTGTCTCTCATTTTTCAACATAGCCTCAATCAAAAGTGTTTAGTCTCTGTTCAGCCCGACTTGGCCCGTGCTGTCAAAAACACCTTAAACCTCACACATGTATCTTGAAATGTATTTATATCCATAGATTAGTATTATATCTACCTAACTATCAATGTGTGATGTTACAAAATGCCACATGTAAAGATAACTGGTTGGTTAAAGTGAAGCCCTTTTCTCTCTCCATTCTCAACATAGCCTCAATCAAAAGTGTTTAGTCTCTGTTCAGCCCGACTTGGCCCGTGCTGTCAAAAACACCTTAAACCTCACACATGTATCTTGAAATGTATTTATATCCATAGATTAGTATTATATCTGCCTAACTATCAATGTGTGATGTTATCAAATGCCACATGTAAAGAAAACAGGCACGTTAAAGTGAAGCCATTTTTCTCTCCATTTTCAACAATCAAAAGTGTTCAGTCTCTGTTCAGCCCGACTTGGCCCGTGCTGTCAAAAACAACTTCAATCTCACACATGTATCTTGAAATGTATTTATATCCATAGATTTGTATTATATCTACCTACATATCACTTCACATAGGCACAAAGCGCAGTATTTGAAGCAGAAACGTTGCTGAAAGTGAAGCTATCTTTCTATATATTCTCAACAAAGACACAGTATCACAAGCATTCGGTCCGCTTTGGCCCGGGCTCTCAAAACAACTTAAACCCCACACATGTATCTTGAAATGTGTTTAAATCCATATGTTAGTATTATATCTACCTAAATATCAATGTGTGATGTTACAAAATGCCACATGTAAAGATAACTGGCTGGTTGAAGTGAAGCTTTCTCTCTCCATTCTCAACATAGCCTCAATCAAAACTGTTTAGTCTCTGTTCAGCCCGACTTGGCCCGTGCTGTCAAAAACAAACAAAACATCACACATTGTATCTTGAAATGTGGTTATATCCATAGATTAGTATTATATCTACCAACATATCACTTCACACAGTCTCAAAGTGTAGTATTTGAAGCAAAAGCGTTGGTCAAAGTGAAGCTATCTTTTCTATATACTCTCAGCAAAGACACTGTATCACAATCATTCGGTCTGCCGTGGCCCGGGCTCTCAAAAACAACTTAAACCCCACATATGTATCTTGAAATGTATTTAAATCCATAGATTAGTATTATATCTACCTAACTATCAATGTGTGATGTTACAAAATGCCACATGTAAAGATAACTGGTTCGTTAAAGTTAGCCCTTTTCTCTCTCCATTCATAACATAGCCTCAATCAAAAGTGTTTAGTCTCTGTTCAGCCCGACTTGGCCCGTGCTGTCAAAAACACCTTAAACCTCACACATGTATCTTGAAATGTGTTTAAAGCCATAGATTAGTGTTATATCTACCTACATATCACTTCATAGAGGCTAAAAGCGTAGTATTTGAAGCAAACAACTTGCTCAAAGTGAAGCCCTATTTTCTATACATTCTCAACAAAGACACAGTATCACAAGCTTTCGGTCCGCCTTGGCCCGGGCGCTCGAACGCACCTTATACCTCACACATGTATCTTGAATTGTGTTTAAAGCCATAGATTAGTGTTATATCTACCTACATATCACTTCATAGAGGCTAAAAGCGTAGTATTTGAAGCAAACACCTTGCTCAAAGTGAAGCCCTATTTTCTATACATTCTCAACAAAGACACAGTATCACAAGCTTTCGGTCCGCCTTGGCCCGGGCGCTCGAACGCACCTTATACCTCACACATGTATCTTGAATTGTGTTTAGATCCATAGATTGGTATTATATCTACCTAAATATCTCTTCACTGAGTCTCAAAGCGTAGTATTTGAAACAAACACCTTGATCAAAGTGAAGCTATCTTTTCTACATATTCTCAACAAACAGTATCACAAGCGTTCTGTACGCCTTGGCCCGGTCTCTCAAAAACAACTTAAACCCCACATATGTATTCTGATTTGTGTTTATATCCCTAGAATAGTATTATATCTACCTAAATATCAATGTGTGATGTTACAAAATGCCACATGTAAAGATAACTGGTTCGTTAAAGTTAGCCCTTTTCTCTCTCCATTCACAATATAGTCTCAATCAAAAGTGTTTAGTCTCTGTTCAGCCCGACTTCGCCCGTGCTGTCAAAAACACCTTAAAACCACACACATATATCCTGATTTGGGTTTAAATCCACAGATTAGTGTTATATCTACCTAAATATCACTTCATAGAGGCTAAAAGCGTAGTATTTGAAGCAAACACCTTGCTCAAAGTGAAGCCCTATTTTCTATACATTCTCAACAAAGACACAGTATCACAAGCTTTCGGTCCGGCTTGGCCCGGGCGCTCAAACGCACCTTATACCCCACAGATGTATCTTGAAATGGGATTAAATCCATAGATTGGTATTATATCTACCTAAACATCACTTTGTAATGTTATCAAATGCCACATGTAAAGATAACTGGTTCGTTAAAGTGAAGCCCTTTTCTCTCTCCATTTACAACATAGTCTCAATCAAAAGTGTTTAGTCTCTTTTCAGCCCGGCTTGGCCCGTGCTTTCAAAAACACATTAAAACCTCACACATGTATCTTTAAATGGGTTTATATCCATAGATTTTGTATTATATCTACCTACATATCACTTCACACAGTCTCAAAGCGTAGTATTTGAGGCAAACACCTTCCTCAAAGTGAAGCTATCTTTTCTACATATTCTCAACAAACAGTATCACAAGCGTTCTGTACGCCTTGGCCCGGTCTCTCAAAAACAACTTAAACCCCACAAAAGTATTCTGATTTGTGTTTAAATCCATAGATTGGTATTATATCTACCTAAATAACGATGTGTGATGTTACAAAATGCCACATGTAAAGATAAGTGGTTCGTTTAAGTTAGCCCTTTTCTCTCTCCATTCACAATATAGTCTCAATCAAAAGTGTTTAGTCTCTGTTCAGACCGGCTTGGCCCGCGCTGTCAAAAACTACTTAAACCTCACACATGTATCCTGATGTGTGTTTAAATCCATAGGCTGGTATTATATCTACCTGAATATCGCTTTGTAATGTTATAAAATGCCACATGTAAAGAAAACTGCTCCGTTAAAGTGAAGCCCTTGTCTCTCCCCAAACACAACATAACCTCAATCAAAAGTGTTTAGTCGCTGTTCAGCTCGGCTTGGCCCGTGCTGTCAAAAACACCTTAAAACCACACACATATATCCTGATTTGGGTTTAAATCCATAGATTAGTGTTATATCTACCTAAATATCACTTCATAGAGGCTCAAAGCGTAGTATTTGAGGCAAACACCTTCCTCAAAGTGAAGCTATCTTTTCTACATATTCTCAACAAACAGTATCACAAGCGTTCTGTACGCCTTGGCCCGGTCTCTCAAAAACAACTTAAACCCCACAAAAGTATTCTGATTTGTGTTTAAATCCATAGATTGGTATTATATCTACCTAAATAACGATGTGTGATGTTACAAAATGCCACATGTAAAGATAAGTGGTTCGTTTAAGTTAGCCCTTTTCTCTCTCCATTCACAATATAGTCTCAATCAAAAGTGTTTAGTCT